TTGCGCTCAGCGCCCACAAGGCAGAGACTCCTGAGGAGTCTCACGCCCAGCGCGACAAGGGGCGCGCTCAGCGCCCAAAAGAAGAACCAAAACCTGCCACAACTGGTATCGCGCCCAACGCGGTCCAAGTCACGCCCAGCGCGGGCCAGCCAGAGACCCACATTCTCAAGCGCGCTCAGCGCACTCATCATTGCGCTCAGCGAGCTTGGCCAAATGGGGTCTCCTGGTGGCCACGCGCCCAGGCGCGAAGAACCGCGCTCAGCGCGAAGCTCAGCAGCGGCCAACCATTTTCGAAAAACTCTTCAAACAATCTGCAAAACAACCAGAAACTTCACATGCAATCGGTTCGAATCACTACAATTTCATCCAAGAGTCCAAAAATACCACCTTTTTCAACATGCAACAACAAATCAAGGATTTTCCCCAAAATTTCTCAACAACCCCGAAACCCCAAAGAAGACAAGCTTTCTTTCAAATCCAACCATGAATCAGACACCAACAAGCATCTAACGAATTTATAGAACTCGTCCACAGTCAAGAACAGCGAAAAAGAAGCAAAATTACTAGCTTCCCTTACCTCGGCCTAAGATTCCGAGCTTCGGGTGGAAAAGAATGAAGGAGAAGAGAAGCTTGGAAGTGAACGGAGAAGAAATCAGCTGGAGGAAATCAGTTCACACCCCCTAAGCACCTTCCGCTGCCAAGAATCGCCACCAGCAAAAGAGAGAAAAGGAGAAATGAGTATTTTGGAGAGAAAATGAGTTGTGCGGGGAAGGGTGAGTGAGGCTGAGAGAGAAGAAAAATGTAAGGGTGAAAATGGGAAATGAAAGAAAAATAAGGTCCTCACAACTATGAAGGATATTGACCACCCAACATAAAATATAAAATTTTTATGTTACGTATTAACCTATTATAAAATGTGTGAACATTCTCTATTATCAAAATATATGTTACACCCTGAATCGATATAGAATATCTAAACCATCTATCATAAAATGTTACTCGTGTTGTAATGTATGCACAAAGGGAAAAGTTGTTATGCAATGTTTTGGATGAATGGGTTGTTCAGCAACTTTCCTTATCCGTGGTTGTTTCAATTTCGTTTTCTCTCTTTCTAAAAGTTAAAGTTCTTTCTGTGTATGGATTTTGGATATCATCAGAATGATGGAGCAGTTTTGGAAGTTTATTTGCCAGAAACACTGAACAAGATAAGTAGGTCCCAAAACATTTTACCCATCCAAGACAATACTTGTTACTTGATTTTGACCCTAAATCAGGTAAAAATAACCTATTTGTTTAAATTCTGTCTTTTGTGCGACCCGACATTTTATTATATGTTGTTTACCCTGTTTTTTTATACCCAACCTTTCTATTATTTTTTCCCATTACTGGCACGTCGCCAAATTATTTGTTTATCAAATTTTGTCATATAAAGTGGATTTACGTTACTAAAATTTGATATAAATATATTGAGTTTTTCGGGCAGGTCTTTTGATTTGATAAAGAATCTATCATTCAATAGTCAATGCAAATAATTTTATATTTTTTATCTATCGCAAATAATTTTATATCTTTTAATTGTGTGAATAGTATTCAAATTATTGACTTATAGATAAATCATTCCACGATTAATACAAACGATTAATTATTCAGTGTTATTTTTTAATTGTGCAAGTAGCAAATTAGAGTATCGTTTTCAAACTAAAATAGGACAATGACCTAATGAGAGAGTGTGCAGATAAAACTTAATGGTGTGTTTGGATGAGGAATTTATATAGGGTAATTCATTTATTTGAAGAATTTCAAATTCCTTGAGGTGAAATGCTTTGTTTGGATGAGGAATTTACAAAAAATTTGAAATCCAATTATTTGTGAAATTCCTTAAAATAATAGAATTTCAAATTCTCCCAAAAATGAGAGAATTTGAAATTTCTTATATTTGTTTTTCTTATTTCACCTATATATTTTATCTTATCTCTTCATTCTTTTAATTATTAGATATTTAAAAATAATTTTAAAATTGTTAAATATTATTTATTAATTTTTAAAATTATTAAATATTTAAAAATAGATTAATATTTATTTTTATAAAATTTAAT